TGCTAAGGCCAGTGTGGTGATGTAGTGTGTGGATTAGGCTGGTGCCTGTGGTGCCAGCACTTAATATGAGTGCCCGTTCGAGTCCTGTCCTTTTCAATAAGAATAAATAAAATTTAAAATTTTAAAAAAATTTTAAGGTGAGAAATTACTCAGTCCCCTACATCCATATATGTCTAGGGTCCTAGGTTATCATATCTCTCTTTTTAAAAATGACAAAAGTCTTCTTTTTTCAAAAGATGGTTCTGGGGCTCATGTGGAATAGAGGGTACCTCTCGTTCCTGTCCTGGCTGTCCTGTTTTCCATTCAGCATCCCTGCTGATGGCCTGGAAAAGAGCAGCAAATCACCAGGTGTTTGGACTCCTGCCACTGGGTGGGACACCTGAAGGAACACCTGGCTCCAGGCATCTGGCTTTGGCCTGGCTCAGCTCTACGCCTTGGGGCTACTTGTGAACTAATGGATGGAAGATCTCTGTGTAACTCAAATAAATCAAATACTTTTAAAAAGTTGATTTATAATGTAGGCACAGAAAAAAAATTAAATTTTACTTTTGATAATTTTTACATAGTTGATTAGGGTGCAAAAGGTCAAGGGCCAGAGGAAAGTGGGTGAGACCATTGTTTTCACTTTTCACATTCTCTTTTTTTCTTTTCTGTATCTGGGAAAAGGAAGAGTGATAAGGGGAGAAGCCACACCCAGCCTCCCAACCATCCCAAGGTCCCCGATGTGGGGCATGCTCTGAGGGCACTGCTCAAGAGGTTTTGATAGTTCAACAGTTCTGAATTACTGCCAATCTCTCCATTCCAAGCATGATGAAATCTCTCCAGACTCCACTGGCTGACACAGTCCACCATAGTCTCCATTTACTCAGGTTATTCACTGCCAACACTTGGCTGGGGTAGTTGATCGATTTGTTCTGTCCTCCATTCTCTGTATGGTACCAGGTGTCCTCTGCAGGCTCCAGTGGACTGTCATTTCCTCCACATGCATCTGGATATGCTGTCCACTGTTCCATCTAAGCCACTGAGGAGGCCCAGCTCTGCCACTGTCAGTTCATGGAACCTGCAATTCTCTTCATGGTTGAGTTCTGAGTCCAGCAGTTCAACTGGGAGGATTCCCTAAGAAACCTCATTTGAGGTGATCCCAGATCCTGATTCTTGTGTGTGCATGCCAATACAGGGTCTGGCACAGTCCGTTGCCCAAATCAGCCTACACACACACTGGTAGTTGCAATCACTGGATCAGTTCTGTCTACAGTCCTGTCTTCTATGCAAACTAATGGGTGTTGCAGTCCAGCCTGAGCCTGATCCTGCCCACCACACACTCAGTCCACACTGCAATAACCCCCACCAGGCCTACCCCTTGCTCTGGTTTCTGTGTTTGCCAACATGAACAGCAAACTGGTCCAGTTTGTCCCACATCACATGTAGCTCTCGTGCATGTCAGTGGGCATTGAAGCCTAGTTCAACCCAACCAGCCCCACTATCCAGCGCATACTCATGCTGACAGGTGCCACTGCCTGTCTAGCCAAGCTTTCTCCTAGTCCTGATTTCCATGCTCACTGGTGAGAGTTGCAAACCATCAGAGAGGTGTCCATTATTTCCCTAATGGGCCCACTCTACTCCCTGATCTTGCACTTTCCAGGTGCTTCTACAGTTTAGCTTGACAGAACTTGTACCCTGTATGAACTCTGCTAGCTGATGCTGTGGCAAGGCTTAATCAACCCACACCCACTTATGCATGAACCAGAAGGAACAGTCAACCCGGCTGGGCTTTCCCCAATCCAACTTACATGCAAGCCAACAGGTGTTGCAGCCCTGACCAGCCTGGTCTGTCCTCAATCCCAGCTCTCTCACTCTGCAGTGGGAATAGTGGCCCAGCATGGAAGCCCTCCGCAGCCCCCCCTACCAGGTTTGTCCCCTCTCCCCGGGGTCTCACGTGTGCTAGTTGGGTGCTGCGGCCAACCTGGCAGGGGCACACCTGAGCATCCCACACCTGAGCTCTGGTTTCAGCTCCAGCTGCTCCGCTGCCCATCCAGCTCCCTGTTAATACAAAGCGGCGGAGGACGGCCCAAGGCTTGGGTTTCTGCCACCCCCATGGGAGACCTGGGAGGTGTTCCAGGTTTCAGGCTTCAGCTTAACCCAGTTTAGTTGTTGTAGCCATTTAGAGAGTGAATGGAAGGTTTCTCTCTGTCCTCTCTCTACTGCCTTCCATGTAAACACACACACACGATTTTAACACTGATTTACATAGTTGAGGGAGTTGGTCATAGAGATGGTCATTTGATGTTGTCTTGGAGATCCCACTGTGGGGCAGAATGTTCTGAGGGTGTTGCTTGAGGGGTCTTGATTGTTCTGAGAAGTTGTCAGCTTTGTTACACCAGGGATGAGAAATTCTAAGGCTTGTTGACTGTCTGTCCACCTCAGTGTGCCTGCAGACCTAGATGCTTGTTGTAGAGCCTGGCCTGGAGTGTTGTTCAACTTGTGCCTCTTTTCATCTTTTAATAAGGTACTCAAAGTCTTCAGCTGGCTTAGATGTGCTGGCTGTCATATCTTCTGTGTTCATCTGGGCATGCTCTCCATTCTTATGTGGGAGTCTGCAAACGAGGTGTCCCAGGCCTGCAATACATGTTCCAGGGACAGACCACGTGACTGTGATTTTCCCTGAGGTTGGAGTTCAAGCACAGCAATCTACCTGGGGAGCCCCATAAGAAACCTTAGACCTGGTTCTCATGTGCACCGTTGGTGCAGGGCCAGGTTAAAAAAACTTGTGTCCTGCACCAGCCAACATAATTAGGGTAGGTGTAGCTGCCTGGTCAGACCTACTCCCATGCCCAGTCCCAGCTCTCATGTGAATCGGTAGGTGCTGCAGCTAAACCCAGCCTGGCCTGCTCTCAGCCCGTTTCTGTGCACACCAGAAGGGGTTGCGATCTGGTTGAGGCAACCCCAAGTAACCCCTACCATGCTGCCCTTAGGCCCAGTTGTCATGTGTGTCGACTAGTGCTGCAACCCAGCTCAGCCCAGCCCATTACCATCCCTGGCTCTCATGTGTGCTGGCAGGTGCTGCAATCTAGCAGGGTTGTCCCTAAAAAAATCCCCTATCATGCCCATCCCCTGCGCTGGCCCCTTGTGTATGCCAGCACTTGCTGCAGCCTAGTAGGGATGACCCAAAAGAACCTCTAACAGACCCAGCCTCAAGTATGTGCTGGCAGGTACTATGATCTAGACTGGCCTGGTCTACCAAGCCCTAGGTCTCCCGCATGCAGGCAGGTGTCTTGGCCTCACCCAGATCGGCCCACTGAATTTCCCCTTCTGATCCACCCTTTCTCAGCTCCCTCAATCACCTGGGTGCAGTGGCCCAGTCTGTTGAAGCCCCTAGAAGTCATCACATATGTGTCAAATATGCCCTGTGTGGTCCCTATTCTAGTTTGTCCCCAGACCCCCTTCTCTGGGCAATGCAACCCCTGCCACCAGGGGGTGCTCTGAGGTGGCCAGGGTTGATGGTATGCCCTGGGGGTGTGACAGGGTCAGTGCCTTGGATTCCTTCCTTACAAATATGGGTTTTAAAAATAATTATTAGATTTATATATATGTGTGTATATATGTATATATATATTCCAAAGCCAGGAACCTTGAGCTTCTTCCGGGTCTCCCACATGGGTGCAGGGTCCCAGAGTTTTGGGTTGTCCTCTACTGTTCTTCCAAGTCACAAGCAGGGAGCTAAAAAGGGAAGTGGAGCAGCTGGGACATGAACCAGCAGCCATATGGGATCCTGGTGCATGTAAGGTGAGGACTTTAGCCACTAAACTACCATGCCGGACCCTGATAAATAGTTTTAGAAATAAAATATAAACTGCAGTTGAATATCACTGCTGTAGAAATAAATCTGGGACTGGCATTGTGGTACAGCTGGTTAAGTTGCCACCTGCAATGCCAGTCTCCTCTGTGAGCATTTAAACCCCTGTCATCCATGTGGGAGACCAAGATAGAGTCCCTGAATACTGGTTCTGGTCTGGCCCAGCCCTGGCCATTGTGGCTGATTTAGAGGGGTGAACCAAGGGAAGGAAGATCTTTCTCTGCCTCTCCCTGTGTCCCTCTGCCTTTTAAATAAATAGAAGCATCTCTCAAAGCTGAGAAATGATGTTGAATATTACTGATGCAGAACTTCCTAAAGCAATCATATATCAGACGGTTGTTTCATGGGCCTTGGAGATTCCCCGGGGCCAGTGTCCAGTGGGGACCACGTGAAGATGACAGTAGCAGTAATAAAGTCATCAGTGAGTATTGACCTCGTGCCAGAGGTTGATGAGCTAGGGGCTGACTGCAGATCAGGGGCTCCTCTTTCTAGGGGGGTTGTAGAGAACCCCAAAGGGGGGCTGGAGCTGTAGCATAGCAAGTTAGGTAGCTACCTGCAAGGCCAGCCTCCCATATGGGCGCCAGTTAGTGTCCTGGCTGCTTCATTTCCGATGCAGCTCCCTGCTAATGGCCTGGGAAGGCAGCGGGGGATGACCTGAGTCTTTGAGGCCTTGCACTCCCCTGGGAGACCTGGAAAAAACCTCTTGCTTCTGGCTCTAGACTGGCCAAGCTCTGACCATCGTAGCCATATGGGGAGAATCTCTCTCTTACATCTCAAAACAATCAAGCAAACAAACACAAAGGAAAGGGATGTGGGGGGCACTCTCTGGTCAGCTGACCTTGTTGGAGGGACAGCGATTAAGGCAGCCACTTTTGATATTCTCTGTACACAGTGGACATCCATTTCCGGCCACAGAGGTTTTCCCACCCACTTCAGTTCTGGGACAAGGACCACTTCGATCTCGAATATTCCCACAAAACACTTCTGGTTATGTTCTTTTGGGTCCCTGATGGCGTCACTCCCCTTGTCCCCCGCCTTCCTCACCACGGGCCCCTTTGCTTTCTTCCTCAAGTCCTTCCTTGATAAAAGACTTCTCTTTGTCGCAAGAAAGTAAGCATAAAATAATAATAATAGTAAATCGCTGTCACTATTGGGCTCCCACGGGCACAGGACCCTCACAGGCGGGAGTGTCGCACAGGTGGGCGATGCCGTGGGGCAGCTGGTGTGCGCTGGACGTGTGAGCTGGATGTGAGCGCTGGACGCGTGAGCTAGACGTGTGCGCTGGACGCATGTGCTGGACGTGAGCGCTGGACGCGTGAGCTAAACGTGTGCGCTGGACGCGTGTGCTGGACGTGAGCGCTGGACGCGTGTGCTGGACGTGAGCGCTGGACGCGTGTGCTGGACGTGAGCGCTGGACGCGTGTGCTGGACGTGTGCGCTGGACGCGTGTGCTGGACGTGTGCGCTGGACGCGTGTGCTGGACGTGAGCGCTGGACGTGAGCGCTGGACGTGTGAACTGGACGTGTGCACTGGACGCGTGAGCTGGACGTGTGCACTGGACGCGTGAACTGGACGTGTGCGTGGCACCGCGGGCCGGCCACTCCCGCTCGCTGCCAGCAGAGGGCGGCGGCTGCGCGGAGGAGGCGCGCACCTGCCAGCACCCGCTGACTTGCAGAGCTTGTGCCCCGCTGATCCCCGCACCGAGTGCGCCTGCTCGCCTCCTGACGCTCCTCGCAAGACTCCTGGGTGGGCACACATGGCCTCAAGACCCTCGGGCCTCTAGCTTTTCCCTGGCGCTGTGCCCGGACCCCTGCTCTTCGTGTTGCCTCCCCAGTGCCATGCATCAGCCCTTGCAGCACCGCTTACCGGGAACGGGACAGCAAACATTGCCCCCTCTGGAAGTGGGGGAACAGGCTGCCAGGAAGTAAAGGCTGCCTTTATTTGGTGCAGTCTTGGGTTCAGAGTTGGTGAATGGCAAGATTAGGGTAGGGATCCACCGCATTGTCCCCAAACCTGGGTTTGGTGGAGTGGCGCAGACACAGAAACAAACCCGGTGAGAGGTCACGTCTGGGTTCCTGTCCCAGCTTTGATCAAGCTCCAGCTTCCTGCCCGTATGCACCCTGGCAAGCAGCAGGTGGTGGCTCCAGTGGATGAGGTCCCTGCCACCCACACGGGAGGCTCTGAGTTTCTGGAGCCAGGAACCTAAATGTTGCCGCCATCTAGGGAGTGAAACAGCAAACGAAAGATCTCTCTCTATATATATATCTGCTGCTCCACTTTTCAAATAAATGTGAAACACACACGTGCATGAAGAAGGCATAATTCCTCAGGAATGCTTCCCCACCCCCACAGCTACTGGATGTTCTTTCCCGTTGGTTTCTTTCTGCACACAATGGCTTCGCAGTAGCACTGTGGGCACAGGAATGCTGTGAGCATCGAGTGGAAGGGCCCAGGCAACAGTCAACATCCCAGAAGCAAGATCTCTTCTAGGAACCAACCCAGCACGGTGTAGGTGCTTATGGTCTACTGTTTTCACAGAGAGGAGTTTACCATGCCAACCATTTTTTTAAAAATATATATTTTTGGTAACTGCCCAAGATTTCATTTCACTTAAAGACAATGCATGTAAGTGATTTGGTCTCCACACTCCTTTAGCTTGTTTATGTTTGCAGCTAAACTAACAGTGGATTAGCCCCTTTAACCGGTTATCCTTGTCAGCACTTCTGATGATTCCTTGGGATGGGTTTCTAGAGGTAGGATTACTGGGACAAAGAGCGCAAATATTTTTCAGGCTTCGATTCAGGTTACCACATCGCTTCCCAGGAAGTTCGTGCCAATTCACACTCCCACCTGCCGAGCGTGAGAACTGCCAGTCCTGGAGCACCCCCAGGGCAGGGATTTTGTTCGGATGGGTGAGAAGTGAGCTGGTGGCATTGTGGCAGTCACTCTACACAAGGAGCAAGAGTTCAGGCTTCAGTAGGCAGAGGGGAGGTGTCTGCAGAAGTGAAGGCTGGGGCTGGTGGTGTGGCTCAGCACAGGTTCAAATCCCAGCTTTTCTGCTTACATCTCAGCTCCCTGCTAACATACCTGGGAAAGTAGTGGACAATGGCCCCAGTGCCTGGAGCCCGCTGCCTCCCGTGTGGGAGACCCCGGTGAAGTTCCAAACTCCCGGCTTTGGCTGGGCTCAGCCCAGGCTGTTGTGCCCTTTGGGTAGTGAACCAACAGTTGGTTGATAACTCTCTCAACAATTGGAAGAGAGCTCTCTCACTCTCACTCTGTATCTCTCCCTTTTTGTTATTCCGCCTTTCAGATAGATAGATGATAGATAAATGGCTTGAGCAGGCATTTTAAAAATATTTATTTATTTTTATTGGAAAGGCAGATTTACAGAGAGGAAGAGAGACAGAGAGATTGTCTGCCTGCTGGTTCACTCCCCAGGTGGCTGCCATGGCCAGAAGTACCTATGGGCCAAAAGGACTAAATCAGAATGCAAACAATACAGAACAGCCTCATTTGGGTGGGTGCTGTGGTGCAGCAGGTTAGACCCCCAAATCAGAGCATTTGACTCTGATCCTGGCTGCTCTGCTCGTCCAACTCCACTTCTTGCTGATGCACCCAACAGGCAGTAACTGGTGGCTCGGACACTTGGGTTCCTTCGGCATAGATGGGAGACTCACATGAGCTTCAAGGCTTCCAGCATCATCCTGGCCCAGCTCTGGTTGGAGCTGATATGTGGCAACTGAGTCCGTGGATGAAAGAGCATGTGTTGGAGGATATGGCAGTCCACTGGAGCCTGCAGAGGACACCTGGCACCATAACAGAGGATGGAGGACAGAACAAATCGATCAACTACCCCAGCCAAGTGTTGGCAGTGAATAACCTGAGTAAACAGAGACTCTAAGGTGGACTATGTCAGCCAGTGGAGTCTGGAGAGATTTCATCGTGCTTGGAATGGTAAGATCAGCAGTAATTCAAAACTGTTGAACTATCAAAACCTCTTGAGCAGTGCTCTCAGAGCATGCCCCACATCGGGGACCTTGGGATGGTTGGGAGGCTGGGTGTGGCTTCTCCCCTTATCACTCCCTCCTTTCCCCTAGATACAGGAAGGAAAAAAAAAAAAAAAGAGAGAGAGAGAGGGAGAGAGAATGTGGAAAGAAAAAAAGAAAAGAAAGAGCATGTGTTTTTTCTCTCTTTCAAATAAATAAAATTTAAGATTATTTTTGTCACCCAATGTTGTAAGTATATAGATGTTAGATATTTCAAGTTATTGAGAAGTGGGTAAATTAAACCAGCTCACTATCTAAAGTGACATTAAGGGAAAAAAAAAAAAGGATTCCTGCTGTACACTGTCTGGGTAGCTGACATTGTGGCATAGCACGTTAAGCTTGTACCTGTGACGCCAGCTTCCCTTATGGGCTCCAGTTCAAGTCCAGGTTGCTCAGCTTCTGATCCAGTTCCCTGCTAATCCACCTGGGAAAGCAGAGAAAGATGGCTTAAGCCCTTGGGCCCCTTAGCCCACGGGACAGACCTGAATGAAGTCTCTGGCTCCTGGTTTCAGCTGGCACGCTCCCAGCCGTTGTAGCCATCTGGAAACTGGAGTAAGAGACAGAAAAGCTCTGTGTCGTGCTCCCTTTCTCTCTCCTTCTCAAATAAATAAACAAGCCCTGAGAAGAAATGAATGTTGCTAAAAAAAAAAAAAAAAAAGCCGGAGGAAGGGAGCCATGAGCTGGCCTGCTGACCCCGCTGCTCAGCGTGATGCCCTTTGCCAAAGTAATACTGCAGCAAGAAGGCCCTGGCCAGGCCCGAGCAGATGTGGCTGCCACTATGGCCTGGGGTCTCCGGCTCCAGCAGATGCGGCTGCCACTACGGCCTGGGGTCTCCGGCTCCAGAAGGCGAGCCAGACACCCCTTGCTCTTTACCCATCCCCAGGCCTGCGGTCACAGCATCAGAAAATGGACTAAGCCAGGTTGTTTATTATTTTTGAGCTTTAAGAGTTCTGTGTATATTTTGGATACAAGCACTTTCATTGGATATGTGTTTTGTAAATATCTCCTCCAGCATGTGGGTTTTGCATACTCATAACACTGTCTTTTTGCACCACAGAAGTTTTTAATTTCCATAAAGTCAGACTTGTTGATTTTTCTGTTTTGTGAATCGTGCTTTTAATGTTGGGTTTCAACATTTAGAGTCAAACCCAAAGTCACTTAGAAGGCCTCTTCTCCACTCTTCTGAAAGTTTTAAGGTTTTGTATTCCTTATTCAGACTTGTGATCTATACTGCCTGATTGATGAGACAGACAGAAAAAAGCTCCCACTTGCTGGTTGATTCCTCAGATGCTCCCCTCCCAGGGCTAGATCTGGGGGGCAGGGAGCTGGAGCTCGGGTTTAGTCCAGGTCTCCTTATGAGCAAAGGGAACCCTGTTCCGGAAGCTGACTCTGCTGCCTCCCGAGGTGTACGCTAGCAGGAGACCGGAGGCAGAGCAAGGCATCCAGGTCATGTACAGCGACGGGGCTGTGGGGCTCTCAACCAGCAGCTTAATCACCAGGCCAGATGTTCACCCTGACAACCCAACTTCATAAAAGAGGACCGTTTTTAAAATTGGCACTTGAAGTGATACGTATTTGAGGCTGGTACAGAGGCATAGCATGGTAATTTTCTGCCTGTTAGTGCCAGCATCAAAATGTTTATGTGCTGTTTCATGTCCCTGCTGGTTCATTATCTGATCCAGCTTTGTTTTTATGGTCTAGGAAAGAAGAGGATGATCCAAGTCCTTGGGCCCCCTGTACCCAGTTGGGAAACCCAGAGGAAGCTCATGGCTCCTGGCTTTGGATCAGCTCAGCTCCGGCTGTTGTGACCATTTGGGCAGTGAATCAGTGGATGGAAGACCTCTCTCTCTGTCTCCCCTTCTCTCTCTCTGTAAAATATGCCTCTCCAATAAAAATAAAAAGAAAAAAGCCTTAAATATCTATGGAATATTATGTGATGTTTCATATACATATACATCGTGTAATATTCAGATCAAATAAGGGTATGTATCACCTTAAATATTTATCATTTGTTTTTAGCGAAAAGAAGCCAAGTCCTTTTTTCTGCCTTCTGTGAGATAACATGGTACATTGCTGTCCTCTGTGGTCACTCTGCTGTGCAATGGTGAAGAAGGACATCATCGTGACCCTCGAAGGTCAGCGAGCACAGGATTACAATTGACTGGATACCCTTTGTATGAGAGCAACTGAATGGGTACCTTTTGTATAACTGATTGGACAACATTTGTATAAGAACAACTGAGTGTGTACCATTCCTGTAACTAAATGGATATCATGTGAATGAGAACACTTGGTGGGATATACAAAACAAAAGGAGTTCCAAACAAAAGTATAGAAACAGTTGATGGGTTTGTTGATAAGCGCGATTCCTCCTCCTTTAGCCAATATGACCCTCAGTGTATAAAGTCTGATGCCACTAGTAAACTTCAGCTTTTGACCTCAGTCAGAGTCTACTTGTGTTGTTATCGGCTCCACTGCAGGACATCGGCACAGTGGGACACCCACACCGATCTATCCCACGTCTGTCTCTGTAACTCCCTCCCTAAGAACATTGAGTTAGTTTTTGTGAAAGATGTAGATCCTGGGTCTGGATTTACATCCAGTGCTGCTTACTGGAGAAATGGATCTGTTTCCATCGAATGGCTTTTGCTTCTGTGTTGAAGATCACTTGGGTATCCCTCAATGCAAGATATCCCCCAATAATACTGACACAGTGCAAAGCACATGCTCATAAAACTTGAAAAAAATACCAATTTCTAGCAACACCAACAAACTATGGGGTATAAATGCAGTAGACT